TTTACTATTATTATTATTATTATTATTTATTCTCTCACGTGAATTATACAATTTTTCATTCAAAAAGAAACTTTTTTATCAACAAACGTTTTAAAATTTTAATTCTACCGGAAATAGAAAAGAAAATTTAACGATTACCGGAAGTATATATACATTTTTTTCCCTTCGAAAAATTTTCACGCCAATTAAAAATTAAAAATCGTCGAAATGTTTTTTTTGTGTAATCGTAAAATTTTTGTGTATACGTCATTTGATGACGTCATTAATTCAAATCAAAAAAGCAAAGTATGTGTTACGTTGCTACGATTTTATTACGATGACGTAAATAATAAAAAATTTTCTCAAATAATTATCATTTCGCGTAATTATTTTGGAAACGGTAAAAATTCCAGAAAAATTTTAACGATTACTACTACTATTATTACTATTATTATTATTATTATGGATTTATATTCCAAAAAAGAAAAGAAAAATTATATTTTTTTTGTGATAATGAAGTAGAGTTTGATAAAGTAATCGATAATATTTTATCCAGGATAATAATAATAAACAACGATTGTTAAATTTAAAAAAAAAAAATTCAAGCGATAAAAACAAAAACAAAATGGCGGCAATCAAAATGTAAACAAAAGAATTATTATCATTATTATTTTTTTTTTTTCTGAACGCTGATAAGAAATTTTAAAAACGAAGGACAAATTTTAAAAACAAAAGAAGATGAAAAGGCAGGGAGAGAAGGGAAGGAAGAGAGAGAGGAGAGAAGGGGAGGAAGAAGGGATGGACAGGAGGGAAGGGAAGGAAGAGAGAGAGGAGAGAAGGGGAGGAAGAAGAGATGGACAGGAGGGAAGGGAAGGAAGAGAGAGAGGAGAGAAGGGGAAGAAGAAGAGATGGACAGGAGGGAAGGGAAGGAAGAGAGAGAGGAGAGAAGGGGAGGAAGAAGGGATGGACAGGAGGGAAGGGAAGGAAGAGAGAGAGGAGAGAAGGGGAGGAAGAAGGGATGGACAGGAGGGAAGGGAAGGAAGAGAGAGAGGAGAGAAGGGGAGGAAGAAGGGATGGACAGGAGGGAAGGGAAGGAAGAGAGAGAGGAGAGAAGGGGAGGAAGAAGGGATGGACAGGAGGGAAGGGAAGGAAGAGAGAGAGGAGAGAAGGGGAGGAAGAAGGGATGGACAAGAGGGAAGGGAAGGAAAGTAAAAAAGAAAAGATGGAAAATGCTAGAGGACGTAAAAGTAGAAAATTATTTTTAAAAAAAACAGGAAACGAAAGAAATAAATTTAAAAAAAAAAAAACAGGTATTTAGTGGAAAATTTTTGGGTTTTCCAGTCTGGAACAAACAAAAAAAAGGGAAAAGGGTCAAAAAAAGGAAACGTGGCGGAAATATGGTTTTTTCACGGGGGGCGGGAGAGAATTTTATATTTTTGGCGGAAAGTTAAGTTTTAAAAAAAAATTATTATTATTATCGAGAAAACTGGGGATTTCCAGAGAAGAACTTTCATTATTTTTTTTTTGTTACGGTGGTGTTGATGCGGTGAAATGGTGGTACGAACTGGTAACCGGTGGTGAGGAGATGGTGGCAATAATGGTCACGGTTAAAGAAATAAAACGAAACGAAAAAAAAAATTTCAAATTAAGTAGGATTCGATATGAAAAAACGATTTAAATAATTTCATCATTAATTTTACCTTCGGGATAAACAATCTTTTACTTCTTTTCACCACCACCACCCCTCCCTTCTCCCTTCCTTCCCTCCTCCTCCTCTCCTTTAACCCCTTTAAACACCAACACCCCCCAATAAAAAAAAAAAAAACTTTCATCGAACAAAACAAAAAAAATAATTATCAAACATTTTAATTATCAACGTCGCATAAATATAATATTCATTGCCGCCAACTTAAAACCCGTAATACTATTACCAACTTGAAAAAAAATAAATAAACAAATAAATAAATAAATTTACAAAAGTTTTTTTTCAATGTTTGATTTTTTTTTAAAAATTAAATATTTAACTAAGTTTTTAGTTTTCGTTTTTTTTTTTTTTTTTTTTTTTTGGAATTTGTAAATATATATAAAAACCACAATTAAATTAAAAACCTTTCTAATTATTATTTGTTTAATTAAAAAAAAAAAAAACGAAAATTATTAACAATAAAACGCAATAGTAATAATAATAATAATAATAATTTTAAGGGTTAACCACCGACCCAAATTTAACAATATTGTGCAATATAAAAAAAAAAATTAATGTTTATAACATTTTTAAACAAATAAATTATATACATCTATCCCAAACGAGTAGTTATGGTTTTTATTTGACAAAAAAAAAAAAAAAAAAAAAAAAAAAAAAAAAAACCTCCGCCCTTCGCCTCGTATTTATGGCCAAAAAAAAAAACAAAAAATTCCATTATAATAATTATTAGGGTTTTTTTTTTTTGGAAACAGTTTCAACGGGACAATCATTTCATAACGTCGCACGTATTTATTTATTTTTTTACGTCTTATTAATTGATTATCGATTATCGATACACCGTAAATTAATATCGTTCGTTTATTAATAATAAAAAAAATCGATGAATCCCGTTCATTTTTTTTTCCTGTTTTTTTTTTTTTTGATAAAAATGTCGCGAGAATGTTTATTTACTCTTATATATATATAGAAAAAAGGGTTGTCGAAATTTTTTTTTTTTTAGGGTTTAGGGTAAACTCTGCCGCCTGTCGGAGGGTTAAATAACTAACAAAACGAAAAGAATACAGGGGACGAGGACTACGAACGAACGAACGTCTAATTTTTTTTTTAATTTTTAATTTTCATATAATGATAATTATTATTATCGGACACACCTTTTCGTACCTGTAATCCGTGCGTGGTGTGCGCGCGTTTTTTTTTTTTTACAGGTTTGCCGGGGTTAACAAGTTCAAAATCAAGGACGAGATAAATAGTAAAAAAAAAAAAAATTATTAAAAAATGATGTCATGTAAAAAATAATAATATTATTATTATTATTAATACTTATGTAACCGAACGAAAATAATTTTTTTTAAAAGTTCATTAACACCTTCATTTACATCTTATTATTATTATTATTATTATTATTATTATTAACGTTTTACTACGTATGAGTATCGGTTATTAAAAAACTATTCGTTTACGTGTGTGTGGATATACGAGTCCAAACATGCATGTGACCGATGAAAAAAAAAAAAAATTTTTTAACAAATATAATGTGACATCCTTGACTCAGAAAAAATAAGGTTCATGAACTTTCGGGAAACTAATAATAATAATAATAATAATAATCATAATAATAATCAAAATAACGTAAGCGTCTGGCGGCACACAGGTATGACACACTCGTCGGTAGGAGTTTTTTTTTTTTTTTTTTTTTTCAAATTTAGGTCAAAATGCTTGTGGGGGTGGGTGGAGGTGGTGGTGGTAGTGGTGGTGGCGATGACGATAATAATGATAATAATTACATCGTATAAAAAATCGCCGATAAATTAAAATGGCGGAAAGAAAAAAAAATTAATTTTTTTGCAATTGTTCGTCGACGATGCAACATCTTAATAATTTTTTTTTTCGGGAAGAAGAAAGGGGAAAGGGTCAAAGGGGAGGTAAAGGAAAGATTAAAATTTTTTTTTTTACCCTTAAATAAAAAATGAGCAACTAGTTGAATTTTTACTATCATCTTTTGTAAAAAAAAAAAAAAAAAAATGTCGAGTCATGAATTAACATCTACTTATAAATAGAGAGAGAGAGAAAGAGAAAGAGTGCGTGTGCGTGTGTGTGTATGAAATGTTGAGTAACACGAGTAGCTTCGCTTTCAAAACGAAACCATTTTAATAATAATTTTTTTTTTTTTTTTTTTTCTTCTTCTCTTCTATGCACAGCTGCATCATCATCATCATCATCGTCATCATCATCATCATCGTTGTGATCGAGAATCGAGTGCGGCGTAAGAGAATGACGCGGGAAAATTTAAAAATAATAAATGTAAACGTATGTATTCGATCACATATGCCATTTTAACATCCAATCAAAACACGAAACACGAAAGTAAAATTCACAACGAATAAATAAATAAATAAACGAGGGGGGCATGTTGAAAAGGTCGTAACGTATAAAAACGCTAGCATTCATTCGTTGTGAATATAAAGTTTCGAAAAAAAAAAAAAAAAAAAAAAAGAAATTTAAAATTTCCGTTTAGAACGAACAACGAACGTAAAGCTAGCCAAGAGTTCGTGGATGATCGGGTCTCTCCCATATTCCAGACTACTTGTTTTTTTCAAAACAGAAACAGTTACGTCAGAGTTAAACGAAAATTCAAACGAAACGGTCGGTGAAAATTTTCTTTTTTTTTTTTTTATGTATTCTAAACGCCGCGCGAAATCGAAATATATATTTATTTACTTTAACGCTGAAAAGTTTCGAAACAAAAAATAAAAGTTCGTTAAAATTTAAAAAAAAAAAAAAATTAATAAATAATAACGCTCTAAATTTTGTTTATCGTCGAAATATAATAATTTTAAAACCGCGAATTTTTTTTCGTAACGGAAATTTTTCGTGGGCGTGAAAAGAGAAAAAAAATTTCTAACGGACAAAACAAAAAAACATTTTTTAAAATAATAATAATAATAAAGTGTGATTTTGTTTTTTTTTTTATTATTATTTAAAATTAATAAAAGACTGCGGTTATTTATTAATAATGTTTTTTTAATGTTTTTCTTAAAAAATCTTTTTCTAATGTTTTGTATGAATAATATTATTATTATTATTATGGATAAAAATAATGTGACGACGAATAAATTGTGGTGGTTATTTAAATAATTTTTCAGTGCCATCGGATTTATTTATTTTAAATAAAAAAAAAGAAACATTTTTTTTTTTTTTAATAAAAAAACAGAAATTTTTTTTATTTGTGTGAATTTTAATTATTTCGCGAGAAAGAGAGAGAAAAAAAGGGTGAAAAGATTTTGTGTCCTTATTTAAAAAAATAAAAATAACAAAAATGGCGGTTCCGATAATTTTAAATTCAGAAGATGCCGAAGACAGTTACAGATCATTAGATTTTTTATTAGAACAACTTTTGATTACTCTAAGACAAGTGTTAATGTTGAGGAGACGAGAAGCGGCGTCGGCGTCGTCACCGCCGTCATCTTCGTCATCATCATCATCGTCGTCACCGTCAAATTCTCCAGCACAACAAACCGTTAGACGTAAGTAATGATGATGATAATAATAACGTAAAAAATTTTGTCCCAAAAAAATAAAAAACCTCTCGAAAGAGAGAAAAGAAAAACACGACGACGACGACGACGACGAAAAACAAATTCGAATTTGTTTGTTTTCGTAGTTGTTGTTGTTGTCGTCGTTGTCGTATCATTATTATTATTATTATTGTCTATTTCGTTTGTCGAATTACCAAAAAAAAAAAAAAAAAACAAAAACAAATTTTGTAATATTTTATCTGGAATCGTTTGTTACAAAAAAAAAAAAGACAAAAAAAGTCGTTAATCATTTTTTGTTATTGTCGTTTTTTATTTCCGATTAAACGATTTTTTTTCTTTAAAAAAATTTTATTTCCTGTTTGAAGAAAATTAAAATTTCCCGGGCTTTTTTTTTATATTTATTCGCGCGAATTTTAAAAGTGTCTTGGAATAAAGTTAAAAAAATTTTCCGTAATTTACGAATATTTATATTATCCGTGATTAAAATTTTTTTCGTATTAAATACGATTTTTCGCGGTCGTGAAAATTCAGCGTGATTATACATAATAATAATAATACTAATGATAATGATGATTTTCTTGAAATAAGTATGACAATTTTTTTCGAAAAAAAAAAAAAAAAAAAAAAATAGAAAAAATTCGTCCAAAACAAAAAAAAAATTAATTTTTTTATATTATTTTATTTTTTAATTTTATGATACGTGCGATGATAGGATATTTCATTATTATTATTATTACGTTATTAATAATTATTTTCGAAAACTAGATTATTATTATTATTATTATTATTTTATTGACGATCCCTCGTACGTTCATTTGTTTTTTTTTTTTTTGCGTTTATTATATTGCGCAATTAATTGCAATGACGACGGGTCAAAGACATTGAACGTGACACGTGAGAATCCGTGTGTTAAAAATTTAATTTTTTTTTTCTTTTTTTTTTTTCGAGTCTCGAATTCGGCTTTAATTTATTATTATTATTATCATTATTATTATTATTATTTCTAATCGTACGAATGCGTTTTGTTTAATTTTTTTTTTCGTCGTCGTCGTCTTCGTCGTCGTTATTAACTTTTTTTTTTGTGAGTGGTAGTAAATAAAAAAAAAAATGTTATCGTCGTATATAACCGTTAGATGTGTGATGTTAATCATTTTAAATGATGGCGTCGTAGGCGAGATAAAATGCGACAAACGTATATTTTTTTCTCTTTTTCTCTCTCTCTCTCTCTCACTCTCCTTCACGATCAGCTGAGAGAAGGTATTGTTTATATGGATTCGAAAAAAAAAAAATGTAAAAAAAAAGAAAAGAAAAAAAAGTCAAGACCTTTATAAGAAGTTGGTCGTCGTCGTCGTCGCATGTCCGGCACGTCGCGATACTGGAGTCTCCGGTCTAGGCAAACGAAAACGGCGCTCCAGTCGAAAAGTTTTTTTTTTTTTTTTCAATACTTTCGTGTTATGCGAGTAATATAGTTTGTAAATTGAAGGCTATTTTGTAACCGTTGTTCGTTGAGGCAGGTCATTAAAAACTAACTTTTATTTTTAACTTGTTTAACATCTGTTTTTTTTTTTTTTTGACACATGTTTATTATGTGATTTCTACGTATTTAACATTATTATTATTATCATTGTTATTATTATTCGTTAATTCGAAGCAGATGCATTTATATATATATTTATATATATGAAAATATGTGGATAAATATTTGAATATGCCAGAAAATTATATTGGATTCCACATCTGGAAACATTTTTCACCTGTTTCGCATTCCTTCCCAAAAAAAAAAAAACATGCCAAGTGTAATTAAGAAAAGATATTTCACGTGACATTGTTTTTTATTTTTATTTTTATTTTTTTTTAAACAGATCGACACGTTTCGAGCGAAGAAAGAAACGCTGATGATTTATTCGAATCGACAGCGAGCGAACCGGAAGAAGCGACAAGGGTTTCTCCCGAAGACATCGTTCATCAATCTAGTTTACCACTTCCCGATTTAGTTTTGGAATCATCGTCGTCGTCGACGTCGTCGCAAAATTATTCACATTTAATAAATCATCATAACATTCATCATCACAATCAGTTGCAAATTCAGCAAAGGCAAAACCAACACTACCATCATCACCACTCACACCAACACCGCCACCACCCCCGTAACCAGCATCAGCAACACCAACGAGAACGTCAGGAAGAAGGCGAAGAAGAAGAAGGACGGGGAGTGCAGAAAGATAGAGATAGAACGATGATACAAATTGAACGACGAACCGAATCAAGAGCTCAAGCACAAAATTGGGCAAGGGTCGGAGCAGATTTGAAAAGAGTCGCCGATCAATTGATGGCAACAAACAGGCTCGATCAGGTTGGTGATAACAACACTTTATCTCTCTCTCTCTCTCTCTCTCTGACTTGATTTTTTGAAAAACAATTGATTGGTTTTTTTTTGCATGGCATCTTTGAACTATTTTAATTGCATGGTTTTTTTTTAAATAAAATTATGCAATGACGTTAAAATGATAACAATAGTAATGGTAATAATGATAATGAAAGTTAAGATTCAAATTTGTGCATAAATGAATCACGTATTAATAATAATAATAATAATTAATTAAGGTTTTAAGTACTTTTAATTAACGGTTTAACCGTCGTTTTAAGATTATGTGGGTTCGATCGATGTGTTAAACAATCCTTTTGGTTCGCCATTCATTATACTTTTATATTATTATTATTATCGTTATTATTACTGTTAAAAAATAGAATTAGATTTAGAATTACAGAAAGAAAAGTTCGATTGACGAGTTATTGTAAAAAAAAAAAAATTTTCCTTTTCTTTTTTTTTTTGTAGTTAATTTTAATAATTTTAGTTTTTAAAGCAGAAGACTTGAAAATAAAATTAATGATAATATAATAAGACTTTTTCATTTGATTTTTACTAAGAGATTGTTTACAAACAAAACAAAACAAAAACAAAAAAAAATTATAAGTCGTTAGTTTGTAGTTGTTTTAGTCGTAAGTTGTTAAGTAGTCAAGACAAATAAATGTTTTCGATATATTTCGAATATATAAAAAAAAATTTGTTTATCAGGTTCATTAACAATTACAAAAAAAAAACAATTCCTGTTCCATGTTTTTCTAGATAAAAAAATTGATCGGGACGATATCTTTGCATGCTAAAATCTGCTCGAATCGGTGCCAATTAGCTTTTGCCAATAGTTTTTGCAGAAGATTTTGTTTTAGTTGTTGTTGTTGTTATTGTTGGTGTTCATCCCCTATAGACGACTAGTAAGTAATGCACATATATATATTTAATTTGTTTACGACCCTCTCTCTCACACGTACTCATACGCACCATTTTTTTTCCCTCTCTCTCTCTCTCTCTCTCTGTTTTGATTATAATCATTGTTATCATCGCGATTTTATTTGATTTTTTGATTTTTATTTTTATTTTCAGGAAGAAGATAAAAAAACAAAAAATAATAATAATAATATTAGTAATAGTAATAATAATACTAATACTACTACTACTACTAATAATAATAATAATAATATGAAAAACGATACAAAAGACGCGAGTCTTTTGTCAATATTTTGTCCGCCTTTGGGAGGTTCCGTATGGACCACGGTGGCACTAATCGTCGGATGGGGAATATTATCACGAGCCAGATGAACTCATTATTATTATTATTATATAACGTGATAAATGGACCACTGGACTGATAAGGATAAATAATAATTGGTTTATTGGTGCCTGATATTGTGGCTTGCCCTCGCGCCTTATAAATATTAACGATCGAATAAATAATGTCCGAATTAAATGGGGTCCATTATTTTGTTTTTTTTTTTTTCTGTTCTGTTCATTATTTATTGTCAACGTCATCGTCATCATTATCATCATCATTATCATCATCATCATTTTTTCTTTTTGCTCTTGTGTTGTTATTATTATTTTTATTATTATCGTAATAACTGCCGTTAGTTGTGTAATTAAGTTAAAGTGAATTGATAATACATATATATGATAATTTTTTCTTATCATTATTATTATTATTATTATTATTATTATTATTATTATTATTATTATTTTACAATGTACATATGATGACGTCACAATTAGTTTGTCATTATAGTTTTCATTTTTTTTTCTTTTTTCTTTTCTTTTTTTTTTCATTTTGTTGAGTTTTGTTTTAAATATACAATTTATTATATATAAAGAAATAATCAAAAAAAATATATATATAATAATAATAATAATAATATATATATTATTATAATAGTAAGAAAAATTATGTGGTAATAATATATATTTAAAAAAAAAATGTGTTCCAAAGAATTAAAAACCAATTTTTTTTTATAATTCAATATGATCTCAGTTTAAATATATATATATATATATTATTATTAACGGATTTGATTTTGTTTAAAAATGGCGGTGCAAAAATAATAATAATAATTATTAATTAAAAAATTTTTTTTGTTTTTTTTTTTTTTCTTTTTGTAAAATAAAATAAATAACCGCCATTTTATATTTTTATTTTATTTTATTTTATTTACTTACCGGTAATATGATAATGATAATAGTAATAATTAATAATTACAAAGTTTTTATTATTATTATTATTATTATTATTATTATTTTAATTTTTTTTAATTTTATTTTCTTATTTTGTTTGTTTTTTGTTCTTGTGTGTAATTTTCATTATTATTATTATTATTTTTTTTAAGTAATTTTTTCACAAACGTATATATTTATTTTTAGTTTATAAAAAAAAAACAAATAATAATTTATTAAGTGTTTCTTTAATTATTATTATTATTATTATTACTATTATTATTATTTTAATTTTTTTTTCCGATTGAAACATTATGTAACATAAGTAATGTATATTTATTGTGCTGCATTATTATAATATAGACTTTTATTAACTTTGTAACTTTGTTTGTGACTTTGTAATTTTTACACGGCGAGGGGGTGTTTTTTTTTTTTTTTTTATATATACACTTATGGCTCTTATACGATTCGGTTATAATAATGATAATATTAATAATAATAATAATAATGATAAAGATAAAAGAAAAAAAGCAATAAACGTTGCTCACCGTAAATTTATTAATTAATTAATTTTTTTTGTCTTCTTGGTTTTCTCACTTATGCGATCTTTACAATCATCATCATTATGATTATTATTATTATTATTGTTAATATCCGTTTGTACGAGAGACAATATTCATTGTAATATTATATTTATTTATTTTAATACGTGCAATGTGCATATACTTATGCGTATATGTTCGCATGTGTGTGCGTGCGTGTGCGTGAGTGAATAATACAAAAATTTTGCAATAAGACTAATTAAAATTAAATCATAATAATAATTGTTATTATTATTATTATTACAGTTGTCGTTGTTCTCGAATTTTGTTAGAGACAAAAACAATAAATAAAAAAAAAAGTTTTAAAAAATTAAATCTTAATTAATTATTAATAATGATAATAATGATAATTAAGCGAAAGCATAAAAACAATCATAATTAAAAATTAATTGAGGGCCTTAAAAAAGAAAAATTTTTTTTTTTCGAATAATTATTAAAATAAAGACTGATTTTTTTTTTTGTATATTTCGATTCCCGGGGGGTGGGGGGGATTTAGGGGGAAAGGTCGAGGCTCAAAAAAGGTTTTTTTTTTTTTGAATGTGTGCGAGTGTGTGGTGGGTGTGCCGAACGAAAAAAAAATTATTCAAATAATAATAATAATGACTTTTTTTTTTAGTCAATCATTCACACGTGAATTTAACGTTGCCATTCGTTGTAATAAGAAAAAAAAAATAATAATGATAATAATAATAAAGTCACAAACGAAAAAACAAATTTAATAATAAGTATTAATAAAAAAAAATTTTTTTCTTTTTTTTATCTCTCAGAAAATCGATAAGTAAATGAATGAATTAATAAAATATTATTATTATTATTATTATATTATTATTATTATTAGCTTGTAATGTTATTGAAAAAAAAATAATTTAAAAAAAAAAAAAAAACAAAAAAAAAACGAAAAAAAAAAAACAAAAAAAATGATAATAATAATTTCGGCGGATGCCAAACTTTCGGCATCTGCTCTTATGACAGTTTTCAAATGATCTCCTCTGTAGTATTTAGTCTCTCGTTGCGGTCTTTTTAAAATTTAAATGTAAAAAAAAAAATTTATAAATAATTATAATAATAACAATAATAATTAAAACCATAATGGCCGCCGACTGCTGACTTCTGTATATAAATATATATATATATATAAATCAAAATTGTGATGATAATGATAACGATGATGATAATGAAAATAATAATAATAAATAATAATAATATGAGAAAAAAGCTCGATTGTGAAAATTTTCTTTTTATCAAAATTATTGTAACGATAATAATAATGATGATGATAATGATAATATAAATACCAATTATTATTATTATCATCATCATTGTGATTTTACAATCATTTATTTTATTTTTTTTATACCTTTAAATTTTCCAAAAAAAAAGAAAAATTAAATTAAATTTGTCTCGCGTTAGTATTATTATTATAATTATTATTAAAAGTTATCATCATTATTATTATTTTTATTTAATAAGTAAATTATTACTATTATTATTATTATTATTATTTATAAAAATTGTAGGGAAGAAAATTTGTTTGTTCCTTTTTTTTTTCTTTGTCGTTTGTATTTTTGTATAACGTTTTATATACACACATGCTTTTAAACCCTTTATTGTTTTATTGATTTTATACATATATATATATATAAAAATACATAATTATGTACATAAATAAATAGTAAGTAAAGTAGATAATTATTCCGATAGATAGATAGATAGATAAATAAATAAATGAATGAATGAATGAATGAATGAAAAAAGATAAAAAATAAATACGAATAATTTTTGTATGAAAAAAAAAAAAAAAAAAAATTTACGATATATTTTTAGTATATAAGAAACGAGTTTTTATTATTATTTGTACATTAAAAGAAAAAAGAAAACGTTCGAAATTTTTTTTTTCGGTTAAGAAAAAAAAGGGATTATCAATATTATTATTATTATTATTATTATTATTATTTGAAAAAATCCGCTAAAAAAAAACTGGAATGTAAAAAAACTGGAAAAGTTTTTAAAAACGTGAGAGTTGGTGCCTGTCGCGTATTAAAAAAAATTTTAATTTGGATAACGTGCGAGTTTAAGTTGGGATTGGTTTTTTTTTTTTTAAATTTTCC